AGATGGGAAGGATTTTTTTTGGAGAAGAAGAATGAAAAGAAGCAGAAGAATGAAACGAAGAAGGAAGCGAGCTAGAAGAAGAATGAAAAGAAGAAGCGAGCGGAGAAAAAGAAGAAGAAGAATGAAAAAAATGAAGATTATTTGAAGAGAGAACTGCAAAGAAGAAGAAGAATGAAAAGAAGATATTGAAGGAGAGATGAAAGATTGAATGAAAAGAAGAAGAAGAAGAATGAAAAGAAAGAATGAAAAGAGAAGAAGCAGAAGACCTCCCCGAAAAGAAGAAAGGAGAAGAATGAAGGAAGCATGACAAGAAGAAGGAAGAAGAAGAATCGAAGGTAAGAAATAATGATGAAGTTTTGTTATGCGTATTAGATTTGAATGTGGATATTAATTGATTGAAAGAAGAATGTTGTTGGATTTTGAAGTTTGAGTTAATAAGAGGGTAGATAGAAGATATCCCCCTAGCGGAGACACCCCTTGCAACACCCCCCCAGCGCGATTGAGTTTATAGAATTGTTATTAGAATGATATTGAGGAGAGGTTTTAGAAGTTGCAGCGAGGAATTGAGGTTTGAAAAGAAGAATGAAAAGAAGAATGAGGAAGAATTTGAAAAGAAGAAATGAAAGAAGATGAGAAGAATGAAAATGAAAAGAAGAATGAAAAGAAGAAGAGAATGAAGAAGAAGAATGAAGAAGAAGAATGAAACGATAGAAAGTGAAGAATGAGATTCTGAAATAGAAGGATTCTCTCAGAGATGATCTGAAGGCGATGTTCTTGTTGCTGAAAAGTTTGAATGAGATTAAGATGAAAAGAAGTAGTCTTCTTCGAAGAAGAATGAATGTAGATGAACAGAGAAGCGAAGATGAATTGATGACGAAGAAGCGGAATGCTTCCAGAGCGAGATGGAAGAAGTGGAAGATAGAAAGATTTGTTTATTGTCATGAAGAGAAGAATGAAAAGACCGGGATGAAGATTTGAGAGGCTAGATTGTTCGAAGAATGAAAAGAAGAAGCAGCAGAATGAAAAGAAGAATGAAAAGAAGAATGAAAAGAATGAAAGGAAAAGAATGAGAAGGAAGAAGAATTAGTAAAGAAGAAGAATGAAAAGAAGAATGGAAAAGAAGAAGCGAAGGTTGTTGAGGTTATGAAAAGAAGAATTGAAAAGAAGAAGAAGTTAGAAGAATGAAAAGAAGAATGAGAAGAAGAATGAAAAGAAGAATTTGAAAAGAGAATGAAAAGAAGAAGAATGAAAAAGAAGAAGAAGAAGAAGAATGAAAAGAAGAAGTGAATAAAGAAGAAGAGAAGAATGAAAAGAAGAATGAAAAAGAAGAAGAAAGAAGAATGAATGTTGATAGAAGAAGAAGAAGTATGAAAAGAAGAAGAAGAAAAGAAAAGTGAGGGGTTAAGAAGAGAATGAATTCATTGAAGAATTTGAAGAATGAAAAAGAAGAATTCTTTTAAGAAGAAAGAAAAGAAAAGAAGAAGAAATGAAAAAGAAGAAATGAAATGGTTTTGAAGAAGAAGAAGAAAAAAAATTGAAAAAAGAGAAGAAGACTGAAAAGAAGAAGAAGATGGAAAATTTGAAGAAAAGAAAGAAAAGGAAGAAAAATGAAACAGAAGAAAGAAGAAATGAAAAATGAAGAAGAATGGAAAGAAAAGAAATTTGAAAAAAGAAAAATTGAATAAGAAGAGAAGAAGAATTGAAAAGAATGGAAAAGAAGAAATGAAAAGAAGAAGAAGAAAAAAAAGAAGAAATGAAAAGAAGAAGAAGAATGAAGAAGAAGAAGAATGAAAAGAAGAAGAACTGAAAAGAAGAAGAAGAAGGAATGAAAAGAAGAAGAAGAAAATGAAAAAAAGAAGAAGAAGAAAAAGAAGAAGAAGAATGAAAAGAAGAAATGAAAAGAAGAAGAAAAATGAAAGCAGAATGAAGAAGATGAATGAAAGAAGGAAGAAGAAGAATGAAAAGAATGAAAAAGAAGAATGAATTTGAAGAATGAGAAGGAATGAAAAGAAGAATGAAAGAAGAAGAAGAAGAATGAAAAGAAGAAAGGAAGAATGAAAAGTGAGAAGAAGAAGAATGAAAAGAAGAATGAAAAGAAGAAGAAGAAGAATGAAAAAGAAGAAGAATGAAAAGAAGAATGAAAGAAAATGAAAAGATAGAATGAAAAGAAGAATGTAAAGAAGAAGAAAGAATGAAAAGAAGAAGAAGAATGAAAAGAAGAAGAATGAAAAGAAGAAGAAGAAGAATGAAAAGAAGAATGAAAATGAAAAAGAAGATCAGAATGAAAAGAAGAATGAGAAGAATGAAAAAAAGAATGAAAAGAAGAATGAAAAGAAGATGAAGAAGAATGAAAAGAAGAATGAAAAGAAGAAATGAAAAGAAGAATGAAAAGAAGAAGAAGAATGAAAAGAAGAAAGAATGAAAGAAGAGGAAGAAAATGAAAAGAAGAATGAAAATGAAGAAGAATGAAAGAAGAAGTGAAAAGAAGAATGAAAAGAAGAATGAAAAGAAGAATGAAAAGAAGAAGATTGAAAAGAAGAAGAAGAAGAAGAAGAATGAAAAGAAGAAGAAGAATGAAAAGAAGAATGAAAAGAATGAAGAAGAAGAATGAAAAGAAGAAGAAGAATGAAAAGAAGAATGAAAAGAAGAAGTAAGAAGATTGAAAAGAAGAAGAAGAATGAAAAAGAAGAAGAAGAAAAGAAGAAGAAAGAAGAATGAAAAGAGAAGAAGAAGAAGAATGAAAAGAAGAATGAAAAGAAGAAGAAGAATGAAAAGAAGAAGAAGAAGAATGAAAAGAAGAAATGAAAAGAAGAAGAGAGAATGAAAAGAAGAAGAGAAGAATGAAAAGAAGAATGAAAAGAAGAAGAAGAATGAAAAGAAGAAGAAGAATGAAAAGAAGAAGAAGAATGAAAAGAAGAAGAAGAAGAATGAAAAGAAGAAGAAGAAATTCGTGCACCCGAAGTTTGCTAAAATTCGGATTCGGTGCGAATCAAATTTTTCCTAATATTCGAAACGAATTCCACTTCGCCAAGTTCGATTCGCTTATCTCTACTAAGGACTACTGATTTATTGAAGAACTCTTTATATCTTTATAGGTTTAGCGCTGCACTTACCTTGATTATATGTGAAAAATGGTGAAAGGTCTGGAGGATAAAACATATCAAGAGCAACTTCAGGAACTTAACGTACAGTCTGGAGGAACGAAGGGAAAGGGGGACATGATTAATACCTTTAAATCATCAAGGGGGTGAATAAGGTTCAGGAGATTAGTATTTTCAAAACGAAACCAAAATCAAGACCACAGGGACATGACCTTAAACTAGAGGAAAGTTCAAAACTAATCTCAGAAAGCACTATTTTACTGAAAGAGCAGTTGATGCTTGGAATAAAATTCCAGCAGAGGTAGTGAGCCAGTGAACAGTAACATGTGTGGGATAAACATAGATCTATACTCATACATATAAAAAAGTTAACACAAAAAATTTAAAAAAACAAAAACAACCCCCCAAAGAAAAAACAAACAAAGACAAAACCAACAAAAAAAAAAAACAACCCCCCCCCGAAAAAAAAGCAGACTCAATGGACCGCTCAGTCTTTTTCTGCCGTCACTTTTCTATGTTTCTATCTTTTATAAAACATGGTAAATGCACATATATCTTTATGGAAAGATTGCTATTTAACCACCTCCCGCCCGCCATATAGTAATATGACGGGCGCAAGGTGGTTCTCTCGTTCTGGGAGGACGTCATATGACGTCTGATTCTCACTGCACATGCACGGCTCAGGGAGCGCGCGCAGCGGGGCGATCGGCAGTGCGCTGTATCCCTCGGACACAGCGGATCACCGATCACGGAAAGAGCTGAAAATGTCAGCTTGGTCATGTGATCAGCTGTTGTCCAATCACAGCTGATCACATGTAAACAAGGAAATGCCGGTTATCGGCATTTCTCTCCTCTCGAACGGTCACGCTGACAGCTCGAGAGGAGAGGAGAGCTGGTAATCGGCTTTCCGCGGAGGGGACATGTACACTGATCATCAGGGCACTGATGATCAGTGTGCCCTGATGATCAGTGTAGCCCCAGCAGTGCCACCTGTCAGTGTCCATCAGTGCCTTATGTCAGTGCTCATCAGTGCCTCATGCCAGTGCCCATCAGTGCCACATCAGTGCCACATATCAGTGCCTACCAGTGCACATCAATGCCAAATATCAGTGCCCATCTGAGCTGCCTTTCAGTGTCACCCATCAGTGCCAGTCAGTGCCACCTATCAATGCCAATCAGTGCCACCTATCAGTTCTGCCAGTCAGTGTCGCCTATCTGTGGCAGTCAGTGCCGCCTATCAGTGCCAGTCAGTGCCGCCTAACAGTGCCAGTCAGTGCTGCCTAACAGTGCTGCCTATCAGTGCCATATAATAGTGCCATGTATCAGTGCTGCCTTTCAGCGCCCATCAGTGATGCCTGTCAATGCCCATCAGTGCCACCTACCAGTGCCTCCTCATCAGTGCCACCTATCAGTGTCGATCAGTGCAGCCTATCAGTGCCCATCAGTGCAGCCTCATTAGCGCACATTAGTGAAGGAGAAAAAATCACTTATTTACAACATTTTATAACAAAAACTAAGAAAAAACATTTTTTTTTCACAATTTTCAGTGGTTTTTGGTTTGTTTAAGAAAAAATAAAAAAGCCCCAGAGGTGATTAAATACCACCAAAATAAAGCTCAATTTGTCACAAAAAAATGAAAAAATTTTTTTATATGGGTACAGTGTTGTTTGACCGCGCAATTGTCATTCAAAGTGCGACAGCGCTGAAAGCTGGAAATTGGGCCTGGGCAGGAAGGGGGTATAAGTGCCCTGTAGGGTAGTGGTTAAATTAATTGTCTGACTACAAAGTCCCTTTAAAGTGATGCAGCCATATTTGATGCAGTCTGTCACTAACAGGCTTTGATTTTCTGAAACCTTCCTGCATCATAGTTCTATTACCTGTTAATCCTGACAGTAAGTCTGTTATTTTTAAACTTCCTTTACTGACCAGCAAAAGTGTCAATTAGTGGGTTGATAAAAAAAACATTTAAAACTGACAGGGGTGCTTACAATGGTTGACTCATTTCGATTAAACCATTATCCCAAACGGAAAAAACATGTTTCTGTAATAGAACTTAAAAAAACCCCACGTATTCAACAGAAAAACAACTCAGTACAAAACAAAACAAAATACCAAACTTTTTTAATTTATCTGATACCTCTGGTCCAAAAGTATGATTTTTTTTCCATACAAAATATTACTACAACATCCCTGTCATTTCTGAAGAGTTGGCAAATCTGAACCCCTTTGAAGTCAAAGGGAGACAATTAAAAAAAACAACTAATGCACATTTTCTAGGCTAATGATCAAGGGATTGCTAAACAAATGGCATTGGGGGGATGACTTTTAATCACTTGCCCTCCAGAGGATTTACCCCCCTTCCTAACCAGGCCATTTTTTGCGATACGCTGATGCATTACTTTTACTGACAATTGCGCGGTCATGCAACACTGCACCCAAATTAAACTTATGTCCTTTTTCCCCACGAATTTAGCTTTTTTTCAGAGGTATTTGATCGACTGTGCGTTATTTATTTTTTTACGCTATAAAAAAAAACCCGCCAATTTTGAGAAAAAAAAACAATATATTTAACTTTTTGCTATTAAACATGTCCAGTAAAAAAATGTAAACATATCAAATTTTGTTATAAATTTAGGCCAAAATATATTCTGCTACAGGTCTTTGCTAAAAAAAAATCCCAATACATGTAAATTAATAATTTTTTAATTTTTACTAGTAATCGGCGGCGATCATTGACTTATAGCAGGGCTGTGGCAGGCATTCTGACACTGCGAGGAACTGACTTGGTGTCACTGACATCCCCAGTGACACCAATATAGTGATCAGTGCTAATACAAAGCACTGACACTGTACTAGTGGCACTGGGCAGGACAGGGTTAACATGTGGGATGATCAAAGGGTTAACTGTGTGCTGTTTTGCATAATGGGCTGTGTGTGTGCTTCACTGTAAGCACACTGCTTTATATGGCTCTGCTATGCACAGCCAATCAAAGCAGTGTGCACAAGCTGACAGGGAAGAGAATGGTATTGTTTACAAACAGTTCTCCCCCTGTCGGAGATGCTTGGCAATCACAGGGCGCCGGCAATTAATCACTGGGCAGAACCCAGTGATTGAGAGCCACGGCGGCACGGGTAGGGCGTGTGTCCCCTACCTGGACATGCAAAACCACATATACCATATTTTTCGGCGTATAAGACGACTTTTTACCCCTTGAAAATCTTCTCAAAAGTCGGGGGTCGTCTTATACGCCGGTATACGGCATACTGACACTTTTTAGGGGGGGCCGCCGCCGCCCCCCCCCTTCCAATAGAAGGGACACTAAGTACAGGGGTGGGCAGGGGCTGCTGTTTCTTACCTGGCTCCGGTTCCGCGACGATCTGGTCCAGGAAGCACGGCTGCTCCTTCAGTTCGGCCATTGGATGTTCGCTCGGCTCCGCCTCCTCATCGGTGATTGGCCGCCAGAACTGTAGCTCAGGAAAGGCACACAGGCAGCCAATCACCGATGAGGGGGCGGAGCCGAGCGGCTCTGCGAAAATCGAGTCAAGGAGCGGCCGGTAAGTGTGCCGTGTAGAGGTGCTGCTGCAACCACATATGCTGGCTGCAGCAGCACTATACTAGAATAGGAGGTCAGCAAGTGTAATTGGTGTCAGTGGGAGGAATAGTGCCCCATCATTGGTGTCACTGATAGCAATGATGGAGCACTATTCCTCCCACTGACACCAACGATGAGGCACTATTCCCCCCCCACTGACACCAACGATGAGGCACTATTCCTTCCCCCCCCACTGACACCAACGATGAGGCACTATTCCTCCCCCCCCCACTGACACCAATGATGGGGCACTATTCCACCCCCCACTGACACCAATGTTGGGACACTATTCCTCCCCCCACTGACACCAATGTTGGGACACTATTCCTCCCACTGACACCAATGTTGGGGCACTATTCCTCCCACTGACACCAATGTTGGGGCACTATTCCTCCCACTGACACCAATGTTGGGGCACTATTCCTCCCACTGACACCAATGATGGGACACTATTCCTCCCACTGACACCAATGTTGGGGCACTATTCCTCCCACTGACACCAATGATGGGGCACTATTCCTCCCACTGACACCAATGATGGGGCACTATTCCTCCCACTGACACCAATGATGGGGCACTATTCCCCCCACTGATACTAATGATGGGGCACTATTCCTCCCACTGATACTAATGATGGGGCACTATTCCTCCCACTGACACCAATGATGGGGCACTATTCCCCCCACTGATACTAATGATGGGACACTATTCCTGCCACTGATACCAATGATGGGGCACGATTCCTCTCACTGACACCAATGATGGGGTGCTATTCCTCCCACTGACACCAATGATGGGGTGCTATTCTTCCCACGGACACCAATGATGGGGCACGATTCGTCGCTCTGACACCAATGATGGGGCACTATTCCTTCCACTAATACCAATGATGAGGCACTATTCCTCCCATTTGTTGGGAATACAACAGCATGTACTATAATGTACTATATACAGTATTCTGTGGTAATATCACTTGACCAGTAGATGGCACTGTACGCTAAAGGTTACTAGTTGTGTATGTGTAAAACTTGCTGATTCTTTCTTCTTCTCTATCATCTCTTCAGGAAGTAATGTCTGCTGTAATATATGTCTGCTGAGAAATGTGCTCTATATGTTTGTAACTTAAGCCACACAAGTAAAGCCTGCATTCTGCTATCACTACCAGTGTCTTCTATAACACATAACCAACAGGTTATGGGCCCAGCTCCAGACACTGAAAAAAAGGAAAACTACAAGCAAGTAAGTGCTGCATTTACAATCCAATTCACTGAAAGATGGCAAGTGCTTCAGATATGAAGTTTACAATAGCAAAGCTCAACAATACCAACTACCAGCTATGGAAGTTTAAGCTTGAAATGCTGTTATCCAAAGATGACTTGTGGCAGGTACTAGATACACACAGACCCAATGACAACCCAGAAGAATGGGACAGAAAAAACAGGCAAGCAAAAGCAGTCATAAGCCTGTTAGTGGAGGATGATCAACTCATCCATATAAGGAAAGAAAGCACAGCTAAAGGTATGTGGACTGCATTACAAAAGCTGCATGAACGTGCAAACCTAAACAGTAAAACTATATCTGCTATGCAAACTGTACAAGATGAGGCTGGAAAAAGGGCAGGAAATGGGTGAACATGTAAATGCTATGCTAGAAATTGTGGACCAGCTGGGTGCAATAGGTGAAGATTTAAAAAGCAACCATGTTCTGTCGCTACTTCTGTGCAGCCTTCCAGAATCATACAGTGCCCTTATAAATGCTCTAGAAACTAGACCGGAAACTGAACTGACGCTAGAATATGTTAAGGGAAAATTAATTGATGAATACAGCAGAAAAGAAAGGAAAATTTGCATAGTGAAGAGAACGAGAGACCAGAGGCAGCTCTGAAGGTGCATGAAGGCATAAGACAAAGCAAAGAAACCAGGGTATGTTTTCTCTGCAAAAAGGCCGGTCACCTGAAAAAGAACTGTTCAATCTGGAAAGCTGAGCAGCGAAAGCGGGAGCTACCCACAAGAGAAAGAGCTAAAGCAGTCATGAAAGAAAATGAAAGTGTATCATGGAGTGGTACTTTTAAAGTGACTCAGAATAGTACCTCACATGGATGGTACATTGATTCAGGGGCAACAAGTCACATGACAAGTGACGAGACATTCTTCACAGAAATTGATTTTAGTGTAAAAGATAAAGTCTTCCTAGCAAATGGGAAAAGTATTACAGCAGAAGGTAATGGTAAGGGATTTCTGAACTGCAAAACGCCATCAGGGGGCAAGCAGAGCATCCTTGTAAAGAATGTTCTATATGTTCCAAGCCTAGAAGGAAGCCTCCTATCAGTTAAAACCCTTGCAAGCAATGGACTCACTGTCCAGTTCAGAGGTAATGAATGCACAATTCAAAATGGAAAGCAAATTCTAGCAAGAGGAAGATTAAATGAACATCTGTACAAACTCATCACTGAAAGTGAGAAGGCTAATGCGGCAACTCATAACCCACATGACAAGTGCATCCACCTGTGGCATAGAAGACTGGGGCATCGAAACCCAGAAGCTATAAAGGACTTTGCAAAGAGAGGTCTATCAGAAGA